CCCCCCCCCCCCCTCAGGTCGCAGCTGACCGAGGCGGGCACTCGAAGCCAACGGCCACCCCGAAGACCTTGCTCTCAACCATTCCCCTCTCCTCACTTTAAGCCCTGCCGCCGCGTGTTAGATGCAGGAGGAGACCGAAGCAGGCAGGTGTCCGTGACAGCTTCCAAGGGCCCTCTGCTGGCACAGTGACGGTTTTGCCGATGGCTTTCGTCTTGTGCCAGGGGTTTCCTCAATGACCTCCCCTTTCTCTCTTCCAATGCTATCACCATAGAAGCCGGTAACCAGGAAACCAGAGACAGAAGCGGACTGATCTGGCTGTGAACAAACATAAGCCATCGACCGAGTAAATGGACTCCATTCTCTTCGTTAGGAACGCTATTTGGAGTTTGCTAACATTAATGTCAGCAGGAATGTTTTTTTTAAGTTTTTTATTTTGAGAGAGACAGAGACAGTGCAAGTGGGGGAAGGGCAGAGAGAGAGGGAGAAAGAGAGAATCCCAAGCAGGCTCCTTGTTGCCAGCCAAGAGCCTGACGCAGGGCTCAAACTCACGAAACTGTGAGTCTAAGATCATGACCTGACCCAAAACCAAGAGTTGGACGCTTAACTGACTGAGCCACTCAGGCACCCCAGCAGCAATGGAATCTTTTTTGGAGAGAGAGAGAGAGAGAAGGCGTAAGTGAGCAAGAGGCAGAGAAAAAGGGAGAGGGAGAGAGAGAGAATCCCACGAAGGGCAGAGAGAGAAAGAGAGACAGAGGGGAAGGGAGGGAGAGAGAGACAGAGGGCGAGAGAGACACAGCGGGGCTCGAGCTCACCCAATGTGGGACTCGAACGCATGAACCGTGAGATCATGACCTGAGCCAAAGTCAGATGTTCAATGGGTGAGCCACCCAGGCGCCCTGGAATTTTTTAACTTTTTTTATTTATTTGTTTTGAGAGAGAGGGAGAGAAAGAACGAGCTAGGGAGAGGGAGAGGGAGAATCCAATGCAGGCTCCACGCTGTCAACACGGAGAGTGACACAGGGCTCGATCCCATGAACCATGAGTTCATGACCTGAGTTGAAATCAAGAGTCAGACGCTTATATGCTAACTAATTTGGATATAAATTAAAAAAATAAAATTAATACATAAAAAAAGAGACACTTAACAGACTGAGGCACCCAGGCGCCCGCAGCAATAGAATTTTTAATAGCATATCGTCATCTAGCACATTCTGCCCACAAGACTCATTTGGGCAGTTCCAACTCCTAATAAATGTGAACCTGGGCTGCCACTCATGTGTTCTGAGAGGGAATGAAATAAACCTTAAACAAAAATGTGGTGCTCTGCACACCCTTCTGGGGAAGCCCAGGTTCAGGACTAAAGCTCTCCCAGCAGCCTGTGTGGGGTGGGATTTCAGATGCCCATTTACAGATGGCTACTTTTTAAAAATTTTTTTTTAACATTTATTCATTTTTTGAGAGACAGAGTGTGACACAGAGTATGAGCGGGAGACGGGAAGAAAGAGAGGGAGACACAGCATCCGAAGCAGGCTCCAGGCTCTGAGCTGTCAGCAGAGCCCGACGCGGGGCCCGAACTCACGAACCGTGAGATCATG